TGAATTGCCTCAGAGCCCCTAGGGATATCCACAATATTCCAGAGCTTGAGTTCATCAGGAAACAATAGCGACGGTACTTCAAGCTCCTGGGGTAGGTCATTAGCAAAAATTGTGAAAAGCCACGGCCCTAAAACCGAGCCATGCGGAACGCCACTAAGAACAGCTTTTCTAAACGAAAGGCTACGTCCCACTCGTATACACAGTTCTCTCACCTCTAGGAAAGCAGAGACCCATTTAAGGGTGCCTCCAGATACCCCATAGGATCTCAAATTTAATGAGTCAGTGATGTAAGACAGTATCAAAGGATTTTCGAGAAGTCAACGAAAAGCACGTCGATGGTGTGACCGTTGTCTACTACCAAAGTCCAGCTTGCACGGGCTACAAGTTACTTTGTCAGACACGAAAATCCCTTACGGAATCCATGCTGTGCCGCACTGAAAAGTTAAAACTTAATCAGGTGATTCTCCACCGAATCCCTGACCAATGTTTCAAACAACTTAACTACTACGCTTGCCAAGCTGACAAACCGGTAGTTCACGAGCAGAGCTCTGTCACCGCCCTTAAAAATCGGACAGATGATTACCTCCTATTCCGAAGGTAAAGCACAGTTGTCGAGCGATACTGTAAACACGCATGTGAGAGGGTCACTTAGCTCAGCGGCTAATTTATGCACCAGCTCCGGATGAACTGAACAAGCGCCAAAGCTTTAGAAAGATTTAGCACTTGCAATAGCCCGAAGAATTGTGTCCCCGTTATGCTGATTTCAGTTAGGCAAGAATCATCCGGGACTTTTGTGACCAGCTCAACCTGAGGTAGAGGCCTCACGAGAAGACACCAGTAAATTGTTCGCTAAGTATAAAAACCTTATCATAGTCGGTATGCCCACGGGTCCCGTGCGCTCGTAGTAAAGCTGGCATAGACGAGTATGTACCGATGCGTCTCTTTACGTAAGCAAAGAACTTCGGATTTGTTGCGGACGCGTAAGCCGAATCCTTCTCGTACTGAAGACGAAGAGTCCTAAGATGTTGCTTACATTTGTTTCTAACCGCTCGATAGCTTTCGTAGGTATTGGTTGATGAAGTCGTCTGGTAAGTTCGCCAGCACTTAGAGCGTTCCTTAGCAGATATTTAACTGTATGATCTATCCAAGGAGGCTGCTCCCGTGTCACACGTCTCTTAATGAGTGGGATGTGGGGAGCAGAGATCTCGGTGAGGTACGCCTTAAATTTTATCCAGGCTGTCTCAACGGTGGTCGTATAACGTAGAACCGAAGCTTTGTCTCGCATTGCGTTAAAGTCTGCCCACCAAATATTTGGAAATGCTTCAGCGGTAGCCTGACACTTAGAATACAACGAAAGGATATGCAGACATGGTCACTGGCTACTAGAGAACAGCTGTATGAAATATCACTTACGAAATCGTGTGACTTCGCAATAATGAGATAAAAGGTAGATGGAAGCCGGTTGCTCATATATTTAGTCGTGAGGTCCACGAACTGATGCAAAGGAAATTGCAATGTTAGCTCGAGGAGATCCGAACCGAAAGTGCCCACCGCCGAACTGCAAGATAGATCAGCCCGGCGGACTTCAGAGAGGTTGAAGTCACCCAGTATTAGACAATTATTGGCAGCCTGAGTAAGGATCAATTCAACAACTCTCTGAAGATACTCCTTATACACGTTAGCTGCAGGTGGAAAACACCTCAGCTATTGTGCCGCAATACTAAAGGCAAGAAGAAAAAATACAACAGTGGCACGCCGGCTGAGTCCACAGTAACGGATGGACATCGTTTCGGAAAGCTAACAGCCGGCTATCGTGCCGTAAAATTAGTTATATTATGCTTAGCGAATGAGATCGTGATTGGAAGGGGTGGGCTAAGTAGGAGGGGATGAACAAAGGAACTCACAACACAAACACCATTGGGGCCGGCACCTAGCCATATTAGCAAGTGTGTCCAACCAAACGTGTTCATCGTCCTTAGAACCCCAGCCAGGCAGTCGGGATGCACCAACCGACGCCAATTTCGAAATAAGGGTTTCCATTTCTCTCGATCAAGTCATCGTTTTGCCTCCTCTCCTCCTCTTCCAACCGTACACCCGGCGCGCAAACAATGCACGGTGTGCTGGCATGCGCAACACGTGATCCAGCAATCGGAGCCTGGTGCGTGATATAATGGTCCTGAGTGGTTCACTCGCTCTTCCTGCACCAAATACGCGACGCCTAACACGCTCATTGCTCGCGCGATGCTCCCAACAGACATGAGCTAAGCTGCGAAGGCAACGATGATCGAATGTGACGGGCCTATTTATGTCTGTCGACCTGATGGGCCAGGTTTCACAACCGTACAGGAGGGTTAAACGGACGGCTGCGTTATAAACTCTACCCTTCAGGGCAAGAGTAATGTTGTGTCTGCGCCACAGATGGCGGAGATTGGCAAAAGCACCTCGAGCTTTTGCTATACGGTTCGTAACCTCATCTACGATCGCACGGACGCTAATAGAGCTGCCCAGGTACTTGAATTCCTGAACAACTAGCTGATCACCACAAAGCGTTAGCGCAGGGGTGGGTCCCTGCCAATCTTGGAGAAGTATTTTGCATTTCGATGGAGCAAAACATAGTCTAAAACGATGGACAGCCAGTGCTAATCGGTCCAGTGCTGCTTGACATGTCTGGGAGCTGTCACAGATTAGGACAATATCGTTCGCGTACTCCAAGTCGAAAAGTCGCTCACCAGGAAGTAGCTCTACACCTTCTAGGTCGTGTCCAGCGAACGCTGTTTCCATGACTTCATCAATAGCGAAGTTGAAAAAGTGACAGCGGGCAACCTTGTCTCACACCGCTGGTGACAATGAAGGGTGGCGACAGTCTGCCATAAAGACTAACTCTGTCCGAACTATGCGGGTACAGCGCTTTGATAATGTTTACATATTTATCAGGAACATCTTTCCTCAGCAGACACTCCCAAAGGGCACATCGATCGACTGAGCCGAAGGCAGTTTTTATGTCAAGAAACACGACAAGGGTGGGTTGCCAATAAACATGGCGGTGCTCCAACAAGTGACGCAAGGTGAAGATGTGGTCGATGCAGACCTGACCTCAACGAAACCCTGCTTGCTTTTCATGAACCTGGCTTTCACGAGTGTCAGTCAATCTGTGGAGAATGACAGACACAGACAATTTAGAGGCAATTGAGAAATGGTTAGGAGAAAGTTTCATTGTATTGCGTGGGCAGAATACTGTCAGGTTGCCCAGGCCTAGAGAGGAGAACGATTAGAGTTCTCAACCAAAGCCTTTGGTTCAAAAACCTTACCGCAAGGCAGAAGGCTTTTGGCACTGGAGTACAGAGGCCGTTTTATGGAGTAAGGTGTCACCCTCACTCCAACCCCCAACCTGGAGGGTCAGGAGAATGAGTTTCTCAGGCCTCTAACCATTGACTAATCTGGTATGAGTGGCTCTGAAAGTGCAAAAAGCTCCACGCAGCATAGGTCAATGGATCAATGAGGAACACAAACAATCGCACCACGGTAAGGTCCAGTCTTGTTGCGATGACCTGGAGATACTTCCAGGACTTCGATATCCCATTACAACTGTAAACTGAGCAGGGCCTCAACAGTTTGATCTGGCGACTGGAAAACGCAGGTCCTCAACACCAAGTTTACAACTCACATAAAGAGCGACGCCCACACCTTGGCGGCCAACGGAGCGATCACATCTAAGCAGTGCGTAGCCAGGTAAACCTACTTCACCGTCTGTGATATCCGGGGACAACCACATTTCAGTGAAAGCGAGTATGTCAGGACGAGATTTGTCTACAAGTAGACCCACCTCGTGTACTTTGTTCCTTAGGATATGCACATCGCTAAGCAGTACCCGAAGGAACTCGGCACACCCAGTCCTGGGTCGTGAGATACGAGGAGGTTCTGGTAGGGCAGAATTTGACTTCCGGATGACCAGCTGAAAAACCTAGAAGACGAAGGCCTTGCTCACCAGCCGCCCGCCTGATCTTGAGGCTTTTGATGGCTTCCTTGTCGACCTGCCAGTGGAAGGTCCGGCTGAACGCTGACACTGGTACCCTTGAGTTTGAGTGCAAAGTGCAATGAGGCTTTGCATTCCTCCGGGGTTGACAGGACTAGACGAAGTAGTAGGGGTCGCGGATTTGGCGTATCGACAGCGACGTTCTCCAGTCTGGTTAACTTCCTGATAGTGACACAGGGGAAACCAGGTAGAAATATCTCGTTGACTTTGTGTTCAACTCCGTCGCCGGGAACTAGGGTGATTAGTGTTGGAGATTAGTGCTCTACCTCCAATATCTTTATGAATTCAGTACCTTTAGGCTTTGAGGGGGCCTTATGGATTTTCTTACCCCTCCACCTCTTGGGCAGGGGATGGAAGATCGGTCTTGCTTGGACGATGTCCAGTGCCACATCAGTCCTCGTTAGGGGCATTCTGGACAGCTACACGATAGCTATCATCTCAGCCGGATTCTCATTGACAGCAATTGTGGTTAGTTGCTTTGAGCCGACATCAATCGAGACTCCCATATTCCTCATCAATAACTCCACTGCGATCAAGAGATGTGAGGAAAGACCACAGCTGGTGGTTACCAAGTTCGACGTTGCTCGATGTCTCCTCAGTAACCTCAAGACGCGTAGATCGACGGCTACGGCATAGAAAATAATGGAACAGCATGCTATCGATAGTCAAGAGCACTGAGTACTGATCGGGGCCTAAATCGGTACACGTCTCATGATACCAGCAGCTGTATACATAACAATGCATGCCAACAGACTCGTCCGTCACGGGCTTTGAGCCGCTCACGCTGCCGCATTAGATTCGCTGAGCAACGCAGCCGATGACACATCAGCGCCGGTATTCACTGAATCCGACAGAGTATGAAACAAGTATCAAAACGTAAAAACGACAAGCTGTTACCTGCAAGGCAGTCAACATAAACAGTTACGGGTTAAAACAAGGTGCAAAACGGATGACAACATAAAAATACCTGGAAAATAGCCAGAGGGTATACCCGAAAACAGTGATCGGTAAGTACCCGAGAACTGGTACGACGCAATCCGGGGAAAACAGTGATCCAAAATTTGGATGAAGCAAAATTTGACAGAAGTCAAATTTTGTTGCAAGACACTTGTAACCACTGTTCCGAAACTGTCCTTCAGATTATCGCTAGGGAATACGAAACCGAAAAGTCGGAGTCGGAGGTTTGGTACAGCTAATAATAGTCTGAGGCTAAAGAGCCATTGAGTGAGGGGAAATAGATAATGAGTGATGTTTGCATGCATCTCAAATTGTGTACGTATATGTCCATGGATATCCATTTTGCTGTTCCTTAGAAGTTAAATTTATGCATTTATAAAACTTTTAGCTATCACTACAATAACGCGTTTGCTTTATTCGAGCATATATATATTTATGTAAATGGATAAATTTTTGCATCTAATCTTTCGTATGTATATGGTCATTAAATTTCCAGTACAACGTTCGTTCAGTGTTAATGTTAAGTGATTCGTTAGATTAGTTTATCTCCTACTTTTCCGGTGATGTGTTTTCCTTATTTTCCTTTACTTTACCCCCTTTACGTTAATGATTTATAAATAAACTCACTTTTAATATTTTCTCAACATAGCACTTTAGCTGATTCTGAGAACAGCTACTTCAAATAATTTTCCTTTAGTACGTTGTTTTGTAGCCGGTCCGCGGGCGTCACGGTAACACGTTAACAGGTAAGAGGTCGGTCGGTTTTGCTTCCTGTTATCATTACTCTCATATTCCTCTCCGGCACTTTTCCTTTCCTCTTCCGTGCTTCCTTAGCTGCTTCCTTTACATCGGCCTCTTACTAGGCGGCTCGAGCATACAGCCGTCTACGAGGTATTTATTTTGCATTGCAGCTTGTCACACTACTTGGACACGGAAGAGCTCAGAACGCCGGACCGAAGGAATATTACATATTTGGCGACCCTGCCAGTTCACGACAGCAGTCCACCCTAGCTAGATTGTAGCCCTGGAGGCAACAATTAACTTTCTACTATCGTGCTGCTTGTCGTTGAATCTCCCGAGCCTAATATACCGCGCTCAATGCCTCTTGAAGGTACATAAGTTGATGCCGGTATGGGCCATTATGGGCGCTGAGGACAGCGCCTGCTAAGAGGGGGGATAATGTAGCCGGTCCGCGGGCGTCACGGTAACACGTTAACAGGTAAGAGGTCGGTCGGTTTTGCTTCCTGTTATCATTACTCTCTTACTTCGCTCCGGCACTTTTTCTTCCTCTTCCGTGCTTTCTTAGTTGCTTTCTTTACATCGGCCCCTTACTAGGCGGCTCGAGCATACAGCCTTCTACTAGGTATTTATTTTGCGTTGCAGCTTGTCACACTACTTGGACACGGAAGAGCTCAGAACGCCGGACCGAAGGAATATTACAGTTTAAGGGGCTACCTCAATACACTACAAAAGTTCCGTAGTACCCGCGTAAAAGCAGCTAGGCAAATCGTGATGTGAGCAAATAAAATCATGTAGCCTTGTATGGTAGAGAGCACATGGAGATTTCTTTTCATCTCCGTCGCTTCCCAGTCATTGCAGAACTTGTTAGGGTCATTGCGAAAATGGAGTTCACAATAAACCGTAAGGCACTGTGGTGAAGCAATATCCAGGACAGGACAAGATCCGGGGACGAAATAAGTTTTCGCTCAAGCAGTGTTACGGTTCATTTGACAGTGAGCGGGAAGTGCTTCCGGCACTGCGATGTTTAAATTGATTCGGGTGTTAACAATGGAAAAGTAAGCAAAGTAGGGATTAAGTGTTAAAACATCACTGCATATTCATGTATTTGCGTCGGCTACTTGTCTGCGGTTAGAGGCTGAATTGAGCATTTACCATAATTTGGGAAACAGGCTAACCAAGTTTTGTCCAGGCCCCTTTTGAAATCCACTAACTTGTTATATTCCAATAATTAACCTGAAGCTTGTTCCGACTATGCACTACGAGATTTGGGAAGAATTTAGCTCTAATACCTAGCCTAGATCTCTACTGTTTCAAATTTAGACTACGACCTGGCAAGCGGTCCGACGTAGCTGGTTCAAAAAGATCGAGGTGCCTCGGGCCGCAAAGACCCTTTATTATATTTTATGTCTATTAAGTCCGCTGTCACTCTGCGTCTCCTCACTGAGCACAACCTGGAGTTTGGTACCCGAACCTTATACGGTTATTCCTACTGGCGTCCTATCATTCCGGTGGTTAGTGTTTGCAATTTCCGTTCTTCCGGTAGAACGGCGCACAGGCCTGAACACAATATGCCAAAGGTTGTCTGCCCACTGCTTTATACAATGGGAGGAAACCTCTGGCTTGGCACAACTCAGGGCTCTTGCAAGCCAAAATAACTCCTGTCGGGCTTTATTAGCTGCATGCTTACATCGCGCTGACCGCTTAAATTTATTCGTCACGATAGCATATTGCACTGTCAGGGACCCAACAGATGCTTGCAGTACCCCATTTTCGCCACTGTGAATCAAGATTTGGCAATTACCGGTGTTTAAGGGCAGCTTCAATGAGCGTGATCATTTTACAGCTGTAGCAAAAACTTTGAATAAAGTAACCTTGTCACGCTGGTTTACAAAATTGTAGTCATCGGCAAAAATCGAGGAGAGCTCCTTAAGTAAAGCGACCAAGTCATTTACGAACAAAAGAAACAGTAGCGGACCCAGTACTGACCCGTTGGAGACCCCACAGTGTGCAGTGGCTGTGCTCGAAATATCATTTCCAACCATCACACGAAATGTCCTACCGCTGAGAAACGCGGACAGCCAAGAAAGTGGTTGAAATTGCAGTCCAAACCAGGAAGTTTTTCCGGAAGAAAGCAGTGATTTCGTGTGTCAAAAGCTTTACTGCAGTCAGCGGGTGGGAATCCAACACTTTTTTGAAACTTCCCTCGAACGGTGCATCAACGCGTAGCTTTAGAAGGCGATTCCAGACATAAAGCCCGCGAGTGGATAGAGCTAGATCTCGCCGCAAATGGAGTCACCTTATCTTGAACAGTTTTCACCTGGGACCACCTGTGGAACTTTCAATGTTGAGAGGAAGGAATTGCTGTAACTCGCTTCCTAGCTCTCCTCTTAGTATAGTCCGAGGGCAGAGCAAATCGCCTCACCGACGACGGTAATATGATGTTCCACACCTGCTAGCACAGTTCCAAGCGTATTCACGGGTTACAGTGGAAAAATCTTGGCCCATCATGGAGCATGGAAAAAGGGGTCTAAGGTGCATACTAGCTGAGCTTTGGACTCCCTAACATACCTCAGAAGATTTTCCTCTAAATTAGAAGTCAAAACAATAATTCAGCAATAACTAAAAAAATGAATTTTTAATCTCGGCTTTCCACGAAGCACATTATCCGTTGGCTGCTTCTAACCTGGGCTGGTGTTAGGCGGAGCCTGGGATACTAGTCGGTAAGCAATGATACGTTAGACGTGACAAATACAACAGTACAGAAGTCGGAGGCGACTGAACCCAACGTATTTGTACAGGCTACAAGAATAGGAAGCGAATCCGACAGAGCGAAAAACGTGCATCGAGGTGCTCAACAAAACGGTTTTTGTCAATGGACGTGCAGTCAGTAAAACAAGTGAACGTTTCGAAGGTTAAACCAATCGCAAAATCCAATGTTACAAAATACTGAAAGAGCTTGTTTTCCGGTACGCTACAATGGCCTCCCTCTAGAAGGCTGAAGAATGGAAGCCTTCGATGGAGCTGTTAGTGGGGGAAACGGAAGGTGAGGGTGGATGCGAATTTTTGCAGGGGCTTGAGTAAGGGCTTCCAAAGTGGGGTGTGTAGCAGAGTTCGCTGGGTCCAGGCTTTCGTTAGTTATTATTTATGACGATCGTGTGGACCGGAGTGCATCTTCGGTGGGCCGCCTGGGTGGGCTGGTCGGACTGCAGAAGAACTAGCTAGTCTAAAAGATGGCCGACAGGGCCTTCCCTTTGCTGCAGACCCGACGGTGCGCTTGGGAGGTGTCACTCCCCCACCGCACTTTAGTCCACGGTCCTCATCTCACAAAGAAATCCAGGCGTCCTCGTCCCACGGAGAAATCCAGGCGTCCTCGTCTCACGAAGAAATCCGGTGTCCTCGTCGGCAGTGCCTAGGCGGCGTTTGGGGACCAATCCGTTCATGGGTGTCTGTGGTCGAGGGTGACTGTCTGTTCCTTGGGTGAGGAAGTGGGCTATGGGACGGCTGGCGAATCACTCCAGGGTTGCGTTGAGCCGGTTGGCGAGTCACTCGAGGGTTGCCTGGGCAGTTCCGGCGGTTGAGTTTCTGGAAGGTGGAATTCAGAGGAGGTGGGCAAGCGTCGAGGAAGTGACTTGAAGCCGGAGATGGAACATGGTATACATGATAAAAGCAGATACGCTTTTTAGGTTTTCAATATGTTTTGGGTTTTTTGCAGACTTTGCAAACCGTTTGTGGAAGAGACGCAGCATAACCACTAAAGACGAAAAAGGCGTGTTAATGGAAATAGCAAACGCTTACAAAATCTGAAAAACGGACCGCACGTTTAAACTGTCTACCGCGTCGGTCGGTTGCCTGGGGTTGCAGCAGGATACGTTGCGGGTCAAGGGGTACGGAGGGTTCCAGGCTATCCCGTGCTCGGGAAGTCACCACAGGTGGGGGTGCTTTGCGGGAGCATCGGGATGGGCTGCAAGTGGCTCGTCAAAGAAAGCCACTTTGAGGCGGTCGGTGTACACTATTGTTCAGTGACAATTCTGGTCTAAAGTAAAATGTTTCGGAGTCCGTTGCGGAACTCTGAAAGGCCCAGTGTAGGGAAGCTGGAGAGGGCGCCGCACTGCGTCGGTGCGGAGGAAGACGTGAGTGCAGATAGAGAGTCCGCTGTGCATGTGCACATCTCTAGCCTGTTCACGGGGCGGGTTCGGGCGTAGTGAACGCATGCGTTGAACTAGGGAGGACGCAAAGTTAAGCGGAGACATACCCGACGATGCGGGAGGTGAAACAAATTCTCCTGGTAACTTTAGCGTCGTGCCGTAAACCAGCTCTGCTGGTGCACATTGCAAGTGAGCTTTGATGCTGCTGCAAATGCCTAAGATTACGGTCGAAACGTTTTCGCTCCAGCCAGGGTCGGAGGAGGCGCAGAGCGAGGCTTTAAGCTGCCTATGGAAACGTTCAACTAATCCGTTGGCTGCTGGGTGATACGCTGTG